CACACACACACACATACACACACACACAAACACACACACACACAAACACACACACACACAAACATAAACACACACACACACAGACACACACACACACACACAGACAGACACAGCGTCCGGCCTTCTTCCAGGAGCTCCTCCTGATTCTGCGACGGCTGGCCGAGCACTTCGCAGCCGCCTCCTGCATGCTGGCGAACAACAAAGGCCTAAACCGTAAACCCCAAACCCTAAACCCTAAACCCTTGCAGGTTGAAGCCGGCGGTTTGAGATCACCGGTTGAGGATTGAGCGTTCATGAACCGTTGATGGTTTGGGTTTTCGGGTGGGGTTTCTGTTTTGTTGGTCAGAAGCAGACACGCTGGAGCCGGAACTTGGGGACGTCCGGTACAAAAGACATGGGAGTAGGAGTAAGGAGTAATTAAAAGCGATCGCACGAGCAGCGCGGTCCCCCGCGCAGTGATCATCCGACAGGATTCGATGCTACCAAGATCACAGTCTTCGGATCTATAGCTGCTATCGCAGACCGTGTGGCCAGAACGACAGTTGAAGCCTCAGATCTCCATCTTTGCCAGGTGTCTTCAGAGATCTCCAAAACCTGTGACAAACGTCGGTTTTCAAGACCCGAGCCTGAGGGAAAGGTCATCTGCCTTCGCGATGATAACGCGAAATAGGAACAGCAAGGACGGTGCCATGAACTTCGAAGATGTTGCAGCGGTCGTTATTTTGGTTCGGTCCGTCCTTGCCTGGGGCCGTAGCAACTCCTGCCAGACACTTGTCTTGCAGAGGGTGACGCAGGGCCATGCAAATATTCGGAGACACTCATTGCATTGAACTTTGAGGTGCGAAGATCCCGTGACACCGGAGCCGAAGAAGGGCCGCAGCGCTCTCAGAGGCACTGAAGCCTCCTGGATTTGACCTGAGATGCCCTGAGGTCAGCACTCACAGAGGCCCTCAACGGTACGCTGGGAGGGCGCCCTGTCGCCATTGATCCGAACACCTTCCTTGTGCAGCCAGCGGCTCAGGGCGACCGCAGACTGCCATTGTCCTGCCGCAAGTCGGCAAGCTGAGCATGAAAGGACTCAGCCTAGCCGAAGAATGAACGAGAACTAAGAGAAGGAGGCAAATGAAGTCCACCGGATATTCTTGGTAGCAGCTGAAGAATCACAGAAAGTCCAGCCTCAAGGTCCCGAGGCCTATGGTTCAAGTTCTAGGGATTCTGGGTATTGGAAAACGAGCGGCTGAAATCTCAAGAAGTCTAAGCGAAGTTTCGCTCTTTTTGAGAGGTCGGAGACCATCGAGACAGCGGCGCCCGAGCTCAACTTGGCCTTGGCCTCGGGCTTTCGAAGGAAGAGGAAAGGCGGTACTCTCAGGGTTTGGGGTTTAGGGTCGCTGGTACCACTACGAACAGTCCGGCGCATAGTGCGTGCTATTTCTAGTGCTAGGAAGCTGCAGTTTGTGCAAAGCGCCACTTGCGGGCTTTGGCCGGCTCTGGCTCGTTCTGCCGACACGACCAATCCCACGACTACTGCCAGGTCCAACACCGCTCCGACAACCATTGCAGCTACAATAGTAGCCACAACAAGAGCAGCAGCAGCTCAAACAGGGACAGCAAAAGCAACCACCACCACAATAACGACGACAACCATGATAATTAGGGGATTTCGGTGCAGTCTGCTGTCCCCTTTTGGGGCCCAGCATCGACATGCAGATTCCCAGTTCCTTCATCTCTCAAAAGAATATCATTGCAGTCCAGCTCCACAGAGCTGCTCTGAAAACCAGGCCCGCACCGCAATCTGCGCCTACTTCTGCCCCTCGGATGCTGACGGAGTGTCCTTCTGAAGTGGGTTCTCCACTTCGTGATTCCGGGTATGTGGTTCTGTTTGGACGTGGCGTTGCCGCAGTGTCGAGCTTGAGTGTCTCTTGCTTTCATGACAGATTGCATCAGGTGAAGTTCTAAACCACCATGAGATCAAGAAGCTGAAGGACTCTTGGAGCCGGAAGCTCTTCTGTGAGCGCAGAGATGGCTGGGCTTAGAAGGCGTGACTTGGAAGGCTTCCTCCAAGCTTGGGCTAGAGCCAGAGAAGGCGAAAGCCATGCGTAGTCGTGCCACTGTTTGCACGGAGGATGAGACGCTGTTCGACTGGGACACTTACGGTCCCGGGCCCCGGTTCTGCCTGCATTTGCCATGACCGGAGACTCTCCTTGCGTGTGAGCCTGTATGTCCAGTGTGTGTATGCATGCAGGCTGGATGATGTATGTGGAGAGGGAGAAGGGTCTCGAACGTGTTGTGCATGGCGCTCAGACCGGACATTTCTTATGTCCCTGAGCCGGTCAGCCCCGCCTGGCAGATGTGTCGTGTACAGGAAGCAGATGTGTGCAAAGCATCTTCTGGAGACTGGCAAGGACGCCACATGTCGGACGGAGGCTGCATGCTGGGAGCCCCGATATCATGATAGTGCCCTTCCAGGACTGGGGCAAGCTGGTTGCCGGAAATCAGTCCGAAAATGCGTACCTGGTGCTCAGCTCAGTTGGACTGGCCACAAGTCAGCATCCGAGCCGTTGCAGACTCTGCGAACTGCACAAACTGTGGCCCATGGCATGTCTGCGACAAGCAATCAACAATGGGTGTTCTAATGCACTCGAGGGGGATTCGCTATCATTTGCTAGATACCGGACTAACACGGGATTCGGCAAGACACATGGACTCGTGGAGCATCTCTTTCAAGCATTCGGTGCTGCAGTATGACACGACTCGCAGCCGACACGATCACCCTGACCGAACCGACCAAAACACCGAATTTACGGCCTAAGGCTTGAGCCTAAGCTGCTCTGACAGTTCCTGCACGATGGGGAGCTTCAAATTCAGCTTCAAACACCATTAAGCTGTCGATTGTCGGAGAGCCGAGGTACGGACCTGGCCGGAGTTCGCAGCCTTGCGTGACATCATCTTCTTCTGGAAGTACTTCATGTGCCAGGGCACCTGGCTCCCTCTTCGAGTAGGATCTGTTGCATCGGGTCTTCAGCGTTCACCGTTTCAGTACCACCCGCAAATCCGAAGCCTCCGCACCTTATTGCTCGGCAGCCCATTCTGAGGCACAGATCTGCGCGTTTTTCCCGACACCAGCAGCTGGTCGCTACAGGTCCGTATGGGAACTAGGGGGTGAGGCTCAACCTGATAGGCTTGATCCTCGCATACAAAGCCTGAGCAAAGTGGGCGACCCTCTCAAGGCTGTTCCAGGAGAAAGCACAGCAGCGCGGCGGAAGCCCCCCCGAGGTTGCACATGTGCAGGACCGAGTATCCATTCCCCAGCCATGCAATCTTCAGGTTAAGCTCTTGAGGTTTCCGAGCCCGAAGACCAACCCTGCAGGCCGCATATCTCACTTGGAATGTGGCCAACGAGAGCGAGGTCTTCGGGCCTCCTACGAACAGGGGCGTGGCTTGGTCAGCATGGACGCAGCGGGGGTAGGGCCGATTCTTAGTACTCCAAAGTTTTGAATCCCGACATGCATTAAACAAACCCGGAACTCTGCGCGCCAGTTCTGCTCCAAACCCTGGACATCCCTGGACTGTCGCCCCGGAAGACTCAGCTTCAGCCCTCTCTTGACCATGCCCCCAACAGCCCAACAGCCCCAAACCCTTCTTAGACCCCCAAACTTAACCAACGGCCTGACAGGCCGTCAGAACTTCGTTTAGGGCAATACACTGAGGCTGAGGTCTTTGACACGAACAACATTAAACCTATACTACAATCAATATATTCTAAGATATCATACAACTCTACAATGTACTATACTCTACTGTACTAGACTAGACTCGACTATACTATACTATACTACACTATACTATGCTATACTAGACTAGACTATACTATAGTATACTATAAACCCCAACCCTGCACCTTCAGGCCATCTTCCAAGTCAGTGCCTTTGGTGCAGCCCTTATCTCCTGACAGCACCTCTTTCTGGTACGTTGCTTTGGGTTTAGGTTTTAGGTGGCATTATGAAGCTTTTGAGAGCTTCTTGGGCTTTGGGCTTGGTCTCATTTTTTTGAAGTTTGCCCCGTGCCCCACGAAATTGCATCAGCTTTCCGCAGTCGAGGCGAAGGGTCGATCTGCCATGACATGCTGCGTTTAGTTAACGGCTGATGGGGAAGGCCTGGCTGAGCCAAAATCCGGCTCGTCCCAAAGGTGCAGAGGCTGCTGTGCGTAACCCGCCACCGAAGGAAAAGCTGTCAAACAGCCAAGAAGAGGCAAACTACCGGGCTCCACCGAACATGGCGTGTCTGAGCCATGCCTGCTCCGAGACACGAGCATGTGCAGGGATGTGCGTGATGGGGTGTGTATATATATATATACATACATACACATACATATACACGTACGACATATATGTACATGCACGCACGCATGTCGAGCAAGTGGCTGTCGCATTTCAGACTCCGCCGGGCTGCTTGAAGAAGTCGCGGCCGCAGTCGTGTAATCAAATACTCTCGAAGCCGGGTCCTTGTCTGTCTGCTGCTTGAAGAATTCGCGGGAGCAGTCGTACTACCAAATGCTCTCGGGGCCTTGTCTTTTTTCGGTTGCTGATTTACTGGCTGCTGCTTGAAGAAGTTGCGGCCGTAGTCGTACTTCCAAGCCTTCGCTGGTCCTTGGCCTTGTCAACCGACTGCTGCAGAAGAAGTAGCGGCTTTAGTCCCGTCTTTGTCTGTCTGCTGCTTGAGAACGTGCTGCCAAATTGTGCGAGCACCATTCCCGTAGCTGGGCCATTGCAAACTATAAGGGCACTGCGACCACTAACTGTGCGGGGCTGGTGTTTCGGGCTGCACTCTGTTAACAAAGGGCAGCGCCAACAGCCCGACCTGTAAAACCATTAGACTCCGAGCTCGGGGGCCTAACGCCAGCCGTAAAGATAGGCCCAAGCACTACACACGCAGGATCCTTACCCGGTATTTTGCCGTCATATCCCGGCGGGGACGAAACATCACCCGTAGCTTGAAACCTATTCTGGCCGAGGTCATGACCACGTCTTAAAGACCAACGAGCCAAACTACAGGCTCCTTTGAAGGAGTTTTGGGTTCAATTTGGAGGTCCTTCGAGGGCTTCAAGTGCCTGCAATATTTATGAGGGTGAGGGGTTGGATACAAAACACGGCCAACACTGGAAGTGATGGACGCCAAGGACCCGAGCACCACGACGTCAGCAACTAGCATAGTTCGCCGTCTCGGAAGTTGACCGCATCGAAAGCCTCAAGCAATCCCCATCGTTGTTCTTCTATCCCTGCTTTCGCCAAACCGGAGCAGGCCGAAGCCTTCGGCCAGTGGCCATCGATACCCGAGCGCGGCTCTAGCATCGAAGTGACCCGGCTCAAAAGTCGTAGGGGTTTGGGATTTCTGGCCTCGGTGGGTTCTGTAGGAGTCCAGGATCATGGAGGCCTGACGGGTCTGGGAAAGAGTCCTCCGAACCTTAGTCCCAAAGCCGCCCAAGAGTTTCGGGAACGTGAGGTACACAGGCCGAGCTGTAGTACGGACCGAGGATGACCTGTGTCGGCCCTGGAGCTGAAGAGTTTTTGGGGCGAAGAGTTTCGGAACAGTGATGCTAAGAGCCGCTCCCTGGAGTACAAGCGGGCATGTAGGGGAGTTGAGGCCGGTGTCTGGTCATCATGTCCTTGCGGATAGTCGTGTCGTGCATTGCAGCATAAATCCGACATAGGTTTTCGAAGCTCTGACCTGCACGAGGAGCAGCCACAACAACATCGGACTCACAAACGTGCGATCGCAATCGTCATCAGCGTCACCAAGTCATCATCGTCATCATCATAATCTTCATCCTTTTCTTCATCATCAACAACAACAATCGTCATCACCCTCACCATCACCCTCACCATCACCATCACCATCACCCTCACCATCACCATCACCATCACCATCACCATCACTAGCACCATCACCACCATCATCATCATCATCATCAACGTCATCGCATAATCGGTTAATTCTCGTGCGTCCTCCCGCGTCCCGCGTGCGCATCCCACGTCCCGCGTCCCGTATCCCTCGGCCCGCTGCCAGTGGGTGCGGCTGCGCGGTACACGGCCCGTGGGCCGGGGCGTGCGGCAAACCAACAACACCGCCAGCAACAACACCAACAAGACCACCAACAGCAACAGCAGCAGCAACAGCAACAACAACAACGACAACAAGCACATCATGTGGCGTTTAAGGTTCAGCATAGATCTTCAACACGACCCCTCATTTGGCGATCCCGGTTCATCATCAACGCGCACACACACACATATATATATGTGTATGTA